TCTATCACAAATGGGCAGTTAAATATCTTGAACTCCAGGAATCCTAAGAGGCAGGAGATTGCTGTGACCTGAGTATCCTGGGTAGAGCTTTCAGGCTGACTAAAAATTACCTTCTGCCACTACACTATTATTTCTCTTTAATTTTTACTGTGGACACCTGAAGCTACTAATATCTTCCTGCCTGATAATAAGAGTGTACTTTGTCCTGTGGGGCTTTTTTTTTTCCTTTTTTTTTTCCTTTTTTTTTTTTTTTGGTCTAATCTGGGATGTGTAGTAAGTTTTAAAATAGAAAAAAAAAAAAAAAAAAAAGAAAGAAATCACAATAAACAAATGAAAATCTTTTAAAAACAGGAAATGCAGAAATAAGTTTTCAGGATAAAGTCTATCAAGCAACAGCTTCAGGGTGGTGGATTTTGTACTCAGAAGGTTCCACTGATCAAAGCTCATATACTACTGATGCAATAACTCCGTAAGATATCAGAGAACTGAATGCTCACTTTTTGGAAGCTGCAAACTGGCTCATATTGATAATCAGAAACTAGAATCAATGCTCAGTTTTGAAAACTTAGATTTGTAGTTGTAAAATAAATCTTCTTACTTTTAGAGCAGTATTTTATGTGCATGGTAAGGATGGAGTGCTAATTTAAAACTGTGTAAGAATGACATATTTTGATAACAGGAACTATTTTGAAAGCTGGGTCAGCCCAAACATTTAGAAAGATTATCAAGCAAAAACATTAAAGCAAAAAAACTTATTAAATGAATGCAAAATTATATTTGATTGCAGTCTGGATTGACATTCAGTTAAGGTTAGACTTATGAACATTTATGTATAGTACTTCAGTACCTTGACAGAAACTCAGGTTAAGATGTGAAGCAGATTTGCCAGAATAGTGCTTAACACTCTGTGAAGAAGTGCATTCTGCTAGAGTTAAGAATTGGACTGGAAATTACTGGATTTCTCTGGAAGGAGGCAGCAGACAAGAAGCTGTTTTCCCCAGGGTACTGGGGAGCTAGGGCACTGAGGCTCATGAGGAGCACTGCTGACTCAGGCTCTGCGGGAAGGCACTGAGGAAATCACTGCCCTTCACATTGCTGCTGACCATCACAAGGGTTTTCCTGACTGGAAAAGAGATGGGGGGGCTGAGGTTGTTGGGGAGGAAGCAGAACCCAGGACCATTGACCTCGATCTAAACACAATGCAGAGAAAGACAATAAACTCCAGGAGGAAAAACACAGAAGTGATTTACCTAGGAGGAAGTGAGAATATTAAATTCTTTCAAGTAACTTCAGGAGGTGTAGTAGAGGAAATCTATTGAGAACACACAGGGAAAGCAGCTGTCTGTAGCCAGCGAGCCATGTGACATGCTGAAGTGGTTGTCTGCTACACAACTCGTACTTTACAATTGACTGAATCTGTTAATGCTGTGGGATTATTGAAATGGTGCATTCACATTGCTTTTCTGTGTCTGGAAAAGTAGAAATGTTAGAAACTGTCATGAATTCATCCTCATTTATCTCCTTATCTCAGTGTGCATTCCACATAGCAAAATTGTAAACCCATTTCTCCGGTGTTGACAAAGATGTGGGTCATAGTGACATGTGATGAGTATCATCTCCTCAGAGGTCTGCTTTGTCTATTTCATCTGCTACTACCTTTCTCTCTTCCATCCAAAAATATGCTGTGTTTAATGCAGACTAGAACTGTAATGATGAGAGTTGCCAAAGAATTTGCTGTTTTCCTTTTCTGGACAGTTTTCATAAGTTTGTCACCATGGCTGTAGGCATTTGCAAGACTTCTGTTTTTGCTGCTTTTCCTTACCAGGGTATGAGAAGATAGTTGTGTGATAAATAAATGAGAAATTGGCTGGAAAGTCAGTTTGAACCACTGAACAAGTTATAAATAGAAACTTAAAGTATCTCTCCCTCTAAATAGAAATTCCTTGATTTTATTCATTACAGTATTATGTTACATTGACTCTGGTTTCCATATAACAGAAGTGTACATCATATCCTTGACACATCCTTAAGTTCTTACACATAGAGATCAATTAACATACGTCAAGAGTAATTCTTATATTGTAACCGTGCCTGGCTGACTGACAGCACTTTTGCATACTGAGGAGACAGAACACCAGATTTTAGGTATCTTGAAGGAAGAATGCCCCATCCACTGCTGCTAATCAAATAATGAGAAGTACTCTCTCTCCAATCTCTTAAATTTGGTAATTTTATAGGTTGTACCCCAGACTAAAACTTAACACATTTTGAACTTGAAAAAACACATGACATTCTCTCTCTTATAAAGTACATTTGCTGGAAAGGCCGCTAGAAAACCATGAATTTACATCTTCGAAGTGTTTCCTTATGTAAGAAAGTGACAAAAAGGCAGGTAAACTCTTCCCGTTCTCTTACCCCCAGTCAAATTAACACAAAGCAGGTGCAATTCTATAATTAAGTGAAAATAAACTCCTTTCTGTTCTTCGAGCTGATGCCATATTGCCAGGTAATTGCAGTCTCTTTTGTATTTATGCCCAGGACATTGTGCTCACATTCAGTGCTATGAAAGAAAATCCAGTAAAATTTCATTTTGCAATGTTGAAAGCAGTTGTTGTTTCAAGGAAAATAATAACTTTTATCAAGTTGACAGTTGTGACTAAGTATGCCCAAGCAGAAGACGTATTGAGTAAGATGGCACAATTGAAAGCATCTTTATTTTCTGCCTATTGCCCAGAGCACCAGAGAAACTGTTCCTCAGCATCCATCACAGAGCATATGGCTGAAGAAGGTACATTCCAGCTTCTTGCTCTCAATATGTTTAATCACCCAGTTTGGGTACAACTTTTTTTTTATTGCCTGTACTAATACTGTAAGTGACTGAATATATGGAGATATATCTGACCATAACAATATTTCCTTGGCATTAGTGGTTTCAAGCAATGATATCGGAAAATAAGGATCTGAGAAAATCTTTGAAAAAGAATCTTTCTAGCTTTGATGCTGTTGAACCAACCAGCAATGAGAGTGGTTACATATTTTGTTGAATGCTTGCTCGTTGTGCATCATTAAAGATATGTTCAGGGCACCCAATTTTTATTACTGTAACTAAAAAAATTCCTGAGTGTAGGAGTAATTCTGGGAAAGCAGCAATCACTATCAGTAAAAGAGATTGATTTATGTCGACGATTGTCTCTCTTATATTTTGTTTCCAATCCTTTTAATTTAGGAAGATCTAGATATCAAATGCATAGGAATTTTGTGACAAGGATTTTAGATTGTCTTAGATTTTAGATTAATGCTTTCCAGTTTTGTTTCATCCTTCTTAAAACCACTGGCACTGTTGAGTAGACAGTGTGTAGAGCACATGCAGCTTTACTTTTGATTTGTGTGACTTTCTTCCTTTGGATAATCTAAAATTAAGTAGTCTGGCCTCAACTGCAGATTTTCAAACTGTAAATCAATCCTACCTACACATGTGTAATAAACGGCCTGCTGCCATGGAGTGGCATGGTGACACTGGCACTTGCTGCAGGATGTTTGGTCTGTTAGCAGACTGGAGAAAGGTGGGAAGTACATGGGGACTTATTGGAATGTATCTGAAGAGTAATGGCTTATAAAGACTTGCCATAAATAATAATTGCCCAAGGTGATATTCATTTTAATGAATGCTTTACTGGTTTCTTTTCCCTAGTAGGAGACTCTCAGACTTCTTTATATAGGCACAGAACGAGCCCTTTGTGCTACGGCTGTCTACCTTCAGCACTTTGTTTTCTTCTCGGCTATCCCCTGTTGCTGGCTTCCAGTTCCTCACTGCCTCCAGCTGTGAGGGCAAAGTTTACAGTGTCTTCAAAACCTGTTGTTTGTTTTCCTTGGTTGGGTCAAGGCTTTGTAAGGCACAAGGTGAACTGTGTCTGTTCCTTGCCTACTGGATGGCCCCAGGCAGCAGGGAGAATGTTCCTGCAGCTTAGCCCTGCCACAAGCAAGGACTGAGAGTGGAAGACTCAAGGTTGTGTCTGCAGTAAGGCAGTGCTACAAGTTATCTTGGTAGCACAATGAAGATTAGCTGGATAACTTTTAAAACTGTCATCAAAGACATACTTCAGACAATTTTGCAGGGAAGCAATGTATCCACAAGGCATACATTATCAGGCTCTCTCTTTGGCTCATCTTTGTCTATAGATTATTTGCTAGTTTCAGGTTCCCTTTTTCTTTTTTTTCTTCCTTCTAAATTTTCTGATGGTACCTTGCCTAATGGAAAGCAACTTCATGTTCTGCACTACAGATCTAACATAATGTCTTCCACACTGTCACAAAACCAGAATAGTGATTCTCCATCAAAGCGCTTTGTGTTCAAGTTCCATGCTACTGAGAGATTATGCCTAACCACCTTAAAATGGTTGAGAGCAGTATTTTTAACTGAGTTAGAATATTTCCTAAAGAAACCTAGAATCTGGGATGGAGTCCAGATGTACGTTTGAGATGACTAAAATGGAAAGTCCTGGCTGTTTTATTAGGCATGCCATTCAGAGTGCAAAACGAAGTGTGAGCAAAGAAAGCATGTTGGCATGGCAACCGCAAGTATAATTCTCAGATTCTGATCTGAGAAGGGAGCCATTCGTCCTAAGAGTCAGCTTGTAGCCCATAAAAGTTTTAAAACAGAGCAACTCACCTTCACCAAAGGCCAGCAACTGGAGAGATGGATAACTCTGAGCTCTTTGGCCAACAAAAGAATCTAATTATTCAAATGGTTGTTGTTCTGGCATAGATGTGTAAAAAGTAATTGCTTTAATTGCAAGCAATCTCTTATGCACAGATGCTCTCGGTTATTTTCAATAAGATATGTGATGTTTGTAAAAAAAAAAAGAAAGAAAAAAAAGACCTTTACAGAAAATGTTCTAGGTGTTAATGATCAAGTGACTAAAATCCCAAATCTGTGATTAATCTGCTGAATCGTACTGGAGCTCAGAAATGTATCTGTATGTGTCCACTACTCCTTACAGCTACTTAACTGAAACGACTAAGAGAAGAAATGAGCATGGGAAAGAAAGCTGTTTTCTAGATTGGTTTACTGAGACTGGAACTGATGGCCGATAGCTTAAACTGCACATGTGACACCAGGTATTTGGATTTGAATTACATGTTCATTTTCCTTTCAAGATTAGCTGTTTTGGATTTCTGAAAGAGGGGCTGGCTGCACAAACCTCAAAAACATTTGACTTTCATTCCATCTGCCACAACCTCATCTGTCTCCATGGGAAGAAGAAAATTTACAGGAGTTAATGGAGTAATCAACCATCTTTTCTTTTCTTTTCTTTTCTTTTCTTTTCTTTTCTTTTCTTTTCTTTTCTTTTCTTTTCTTTTCTTTTCTTTTCTTTTCTTTTCTTTTCTTTCCCTTTCCCTTTCCCTTTCCCTTTCCCTTTCCCTTTCCCTTTC